CGAAATCATCGTATGGGTTTCCTGAGGCTTATAGACAGAGTCTGGCAGAAATGGAGCTAGTGCTCAGGAAGTGGAAGTGTCCATTAAAGCCATCTAGCACAGGCATCTTCTCCTGAGAGGGAAGAAGTCTTGATTAGGGCCAGGAGCAGTCACTGGCTGGTGCTACAATCTGCTTTAAATCAAATTCACCAGGCTCGTTGTCTGATAACAGACTGATTAAGGGAAATGGGTACCATAAATTTGATCCAATATTTGAGAAGAGGATAGGAGGTGGCCATGTATCATCTGGGAAAAAGCCTTTTCATGACAGCAGAAACTTACTCACACTCAAGAGCTGTGAAAAAGTAAAGGCATTTTAGGGGAGTGGGAGTAACAGAGGAGCAGGCAAGCTAGGGAAGGAAGAGCTATGGCCAATTATAGACTACACAGCCCAGCAAAGTTGGGGCTGCTGTACAGTGATGAACTAGATCCCAGAGGTTCTTGTGCTCCCATTTCATATGACCTCTTGGCAGTCTCCACCTGCACTTCAAACTCAAGCCCCAAACCAAAATCAGAGTGGCTCATTTCCCTCCATATCCTGTCCTCCCCAGACTCCATTACTGTAAAAAAATTGGGGTCCCTTACTGTCTAGGTAAAAAACCCAGGAGTTGTTCCTAACTTTCCACTCACCAATGTTCCACTGACTTTACCTCTTTGACATCTCTTAGCTTTGTGGTGGCCTCTCTATTCACAGAATCACTGCTGCCTTGTTCAGGCCCAGTTTTTTTTTATCGAAGCCAGGGGTTGGCAAACTTTCGAGACGTATAAGCCAATCACGACAATTAAAAAAATATTTGAGGGCCATAAAAATATATTTTGACAAAGAAATTAAATCACTATTATCTGAATAATATCCTTCAAGATGTTTCTATTTTTCTTTACATGTATACTAAAAAGCCACATATGGTTTGTGAGCTGCAGTGTGCTGAGCCCTGATACAGATTATAGAATAAAAGGCGCCCTGGTGGCTTAGGCTTTGAGCTGCTAACCACATGCTCAGCAGTTTGAACTCATCAGCCACTACTCGAAGCAATAGGATTTCTGCGCCTGTAAAGATCTACAATCTCGGAAACCTTTTGTTCTAGATCTCTAGGAGTGGGAGTGGACAGAGGAGTTGGAGTTGACTTGTGGACAGTGAGCTTCGAGGATATGGAGCAGTCGACACCCATCCACCCTGCTCTAGCCTTCTCATGCCAATCTGTCCTGAACATCAATGCAACCCGACTATGCAATTCCTGTTTAAAAACTGCCTATGACTCGATACAATTTTATAAAATAAAATCCAAACTCTTTAGACTGACATTTGGACACTTTCATGATCTGTCTTGTCTGCCCCTTTTCTTTTTTTCCCTAGCCATCTCTCCCCTCATTTTCTGTCACTCTAATAAATTTTTTCAGTATACCCTAAACCCATGATTGCTCCTGGTTCCTGTCCATATGAGCCACTCAATAAGCCCTAACTTCTTGAACTTTGTATTCTCCTCCTGCCTTCCCCTTGTGCTTTACAACCCACCAAGAAAAAAATCTCCTTCAAAAAATAATTCAAATGTCTGTTCTTCTAGTGAACTTTCCTTGAGTCTGCAAATATAGGCAGTCACTCCCTATTTTACGTGTGTACAGTACCTCATACACTCCTCCATCTCCACTGTTATCAATCTGCATCCTATTTCGGTAGTATCTGCTGCTACATAATTGCCGTACTTCCAGAAGATGGAATTTCAGGGCCAGAAACCATGCCTGCACCATCTGTGACCCCAGCCTCCTTCCCCTCACAAAAACAACAGATGCTTAGTAAGTAGACATGGAGTAATACCTAATTCATCAATGTTTAACCCCTATTTTATTGTTGAAGGATCCCATAGTAGAGTGAGTCTTAATGACAAACCCATTCTCTTTTTTAAAATACTTTCATTGGGGGTTCTTACACCTCTTATCATAATCCATACATTCCTCCAATGTGTCAAGCACCTTTGCACATATGCTGCCATCATCGTTTTCAAAGCATTCTCTTCCCACCTGAGCCCCTGATATCAGCTCCCCATTTCTTTCCCCTCCCTCCCCCACTTGCCCTCCCTTACAAACCCTTGATAAGTTATAGATTATTTTTTCCTATCTATAAAGTTATAGATTATTATTATCTTATATAGTCCTCCATTGCTCCTCACCCACTTTTCCGTTATTTGTACCCCTGGAAGGGTGTTCTAGATTGATCCTTGTGAACGATTCCCCCTTTCTCACCCCACTTTCCCCTAATCCTCCTGGTATCTCTACTCTCTTTGTTGGTCCTGAGACAAACCCATTCTTTATCCTTAGGACCTAGTCAACAGCAACACCTGTTGTTTAATTGTACTTTTGGTAATCATGGAAATGTTCTATACCTGTTCCAATACAGTAGCCAGCAGTCACATAGTTACCGAGTACTTGAAATGTACCTTGTGCAAATGAGGAAAGGAATTTTCAGTTTTAATTTATTTTAAGGAGCCACATGAGGCTAGTAGTTACTACACTGGGCAGTGCAGCTCTAGAACCTCCTTAGCAAAAAGTTTCTCTAGGAAATACAAATTCTGTCAAGAATAATGCCGTTTCTCTGGTCTCAGGGTCTCAAGGAACTGGCCAAATGGGATGGGGTGCTTATGAAGTGCAAAGCCATAGAAAGCTCTGTACTTCCTCTGACCCCTTCCTGCCTGGAGAGCACACGGACAAATCTATCACTCTAGGATAGACTGTTGGTTGATTCAAAGTAAGTAGGGAGATTGGGCTCCTTGGGCCAGTTCTGTAAAACCTGACACTATTAGAATAGGTTCAATGCTTTTCAAACACCCTGCTGGCTCAGACTTACAGAGCAAAAGATAGGGACTTTATGGAAACAATAAATTAAGAGGCTCTGAACAAGGGGTCGGGTCATTCTGAAAAGTCAAATAGCTCTATTTATAGGACTAAGGTGTCAGTTGGGTTCAAAACCCTGCATTTACGGATCACCCTAGAGCCATTAAGTTTCATTAATAAGGAAATAGTAGAAAGCCAGGGAAGAATACAAGCCCCTAGACTCCTTATCCCTCAGCTGCACAAAGGAGCCTTGAGCTTTGCCTTGTCTTCATGCCATGTTTGGGTGCCAGAGAGAGATGCGCCCACGCATGTGGAGAGAAGTGTGGGGGCCGGCTTTCATCAACGGGGCACTTTTGCTTTCTTCCTTCTTGGTGCCCTGGGGTCCCACGTATACTATTCACTAAACTGTCTATTAAATGTGATTTAAGCTTTATAAGATTTTTCATAGGCAAAAATTTATAAGCCAGAAAAGTCTCAACAGGCCCTAAGTTCTCATTTTGGGATCGGAAGTGTGTCTCATGCCTCCAAAGTGAGTGAGTGAAAAGGGGGCTTGGATGGTCCATGGAGCCCCAGGAAGAAAGAAGACCTGATCTAGAGGAAGCGGTTTGAAGGACCTGACCCTGGTCAGCTAGGATGAGACTCCGTGCCAGAAAACTCTGGGGAGACTAGCCTGTCTCTAGTCCTTTGTACTTAATACCTTACCATTGAGGAAACAATCTATAACAGGCAGCTAAGATGTGGTGAGAACCCAAGTTTTTAAATGGTGAGAAACCAAGTTATTAATCAATGCCACTAAAAGCCCTACGTTTGGCAAAGACATTGAATTGTGTGTGTTTTCGTACTGCTGCATCCCTTAGGCTTGGAACAGTGGCTGGTGCATGCAGGTGGCTCAATCTCATTTAAACAAATATGGTTTTGTCAACTTCCAATTGGGATCTGAGGCCCTCAAAGGATTTAAGCCCTGCTAACTTATTCTTTCATTCAGCCCTATAAATTGCAGGCCTACTATGAACTGAGCCCTAGTGGCATAGTGGTTACACAGGGGATGGTAACCATAAGGTCAGTAATTTGAAACCATGAGCCACTCTGTGGGAGAAAGCAGTGACTTTCTCCTTCCGTCAAGATTTAGTCTCAGAAACTCACAGAAACAGTCCTATAGGATTAGTCTGAGTCAGAAGCGATTCTATGGCACTGAGTTTTTTTGGTTTATGTATGGATTATTGTGCTGGGAGTGGGGATAAGGATTCAGAGACATACAAAGGACTGAGGAAGATGGGGCATAGAGAATGGGACTCAGTTTCACCAACATCACTAGCACCAGCCAGAGAAAAGTCAGTTAAGTATTTTGCAGCCCCCTTTCCAGCCCGAGGCTCTGAAGACCCAGAGGTAGCACAATGCTTTACACCCTCCCTGTTCCTTCTTTTGGGATCCCAGAACCTGGCTAATCTGAGTACTGTGGACTGGGATCTCAGCACTCAAATCTAAGATAATGGTTTTAAAGCCCAAATCTCTAAAGACAGGTCTGCTAGAACTTGTTTCCTCATCTACACATAATAGGCAAAATATCACATGTAACGTTGGAAGCAATGAGCATGAAATGAAGCAATAGTATAGACCTCCTAGTGCTTGGTCCACAGTAAACGCTATGATATCCGAAATTCTTGGACCATATACTACGGCTTAGAGAAAAGGTAATCTGTCCTCATTTTAGGGTCAGGAACTGTGTCCTATGCTTTGAAAGTGAGTAAAAGGGTATTTGGACAGGTCATGGGGCAGCAAGAAGAATGAAGATCTGATTGCTTGTACATTTTAGACAATGTTTAGAATTTTGTTCTTTATTTTATCTCAGTGATGTAGCTGTGATAAAATGTTTTTAATTTTTACTGTAAAATTATCATTTATCCCCCATAACGACCTGGTTGTAGAGATATTGCTATCATTTCCATTTTACTAATTGATGAGAAGTTGAGGATCAGAGACTTGGCCATGATCACAGAGCTAGTCAGGGGCAAAAGAAGGATTCAAAGCCCAGTCTGCATGGCTTTTAGGTCTATCTTTTGGAATGCCATGAAACTGGCTTACAAGGATGCTAAGCGTTTGGATGCCCAAGATTTCCTCCCAGCCTGCAGCCTCACCTGTGTAGTTCTTCATCAGAGGGCGAGTACTTGGCGGTGACATCAGCCAGCTCTCCAAAGATCTGCTTGCTATAAACGGTGAGGGAGGAGAGCAGGATTAATTCCTGCCACGTGGAGCTCAGGAGGCACGTGTAATCCTTGATTGAGAGCTCGCAGAAGAAAGGCAGTTTCTTGATCCAGGCAATCTGCCTAAAGAGCAGCTCATCGGCCAGGCGGCAGAGCAGGGCAAACAGTTCTGCTTGTGTCACAGCATATCTAGGGGTAGGAGGAATAGGGAAAAATCACTTCCATTGGGTGGAGGGCAAAGATAGAAGACACAAAGGGTATGGCAGGAGGCTCTTTGTCCTTGGCCATGGATCTGAAGCTCCATTCAACTCAAGCTTCTGATAAAGGGCAGGACTGAAGGCCGAAGTTGCTCCTCAGGGTGCAGGAGGCAGGCTTGGGCAAAAAGAATTGCTGAGGGATAAGGAGGCTTAGAAATTTGCAAAATTATTGGGGAATATGACTTTTAAGTGTTGGTGTCCTTTAATATTCCACATCTTAGTGAAAGTTCCTAGTCATTCCTGTCCTAGTGTTGGCAATGAAAACTTGAATGGGGTGGATCACAAGCCCACTCAGTACAAGAACCAGCACAAAACAGAACTACTGGGCCAGATAATTGAAGCGATCGAATATGGCCGAAGCTTTTCCTGCTGTCACGGCACCCCCTGGTGGCAAGAGTTCAGGAGTCAGCGTTGCTCTGGTGCTACTGCTGGGTGGGAAGGAGCAGGGCATTTTCTATCTCTGGACTAAAGCAGGCCTCTGAGGCCAGTAACTCAGGGGTCCCAGCTTTTGCCCTGTCAAAGACCCCTGGCATTCTTCTCTCCAAACCCTATGCTTGATAACATTCAAACAGCCCAAGGGGTAAGGAGTGGACCTGAAGGTGAACGTATCTGAGGTAGACCCTTTTGAGCAATGAAAATCCTCCTTCTATCCACTCTGGTCTATACACAGAACAGACATATGGGCTACTCCTGGGTATGTTGCCTGGGGATGATGCAGAGCCACAACAGCCAGCTAGGAACTTAAGTCTTTGTAAAAAGCTTAGACTTAAAAAAAAAAAAAAAAAAAAAGCTCCAGGGAAATACAACTCCACCTCTGGGATAGAAGAGCTTTACACTCACCCCAGGGCCTGGCTTACCTAGAGCCATGAAGGAACAATGACTCTTCCATTCTGATTCCACAGGCTTTGATCAATAGTCCCAGCTCTATATAACAAGATGCACAAGAAAAAAATAAAAAAAAGAGGGACCACTGACTTCAAACATAGGCACAGGAGTTCCCCTTACTCATTCTAAAGCCTGCACAAGGTATAGCAGCCAGGGTTACAGGTGAGTGTGGGGGATAAGGGAATATGTGGAAGCTACAAGGAGGCAAACAAAGCAGGGCTTACTCACCCATCTTCAATCAACATTGGTGTACCCAAGGGCTCTAGGTCCTCCGCTGACACCAGTTGGTGAATCAGACTGTATGACTGGGGATCCAGGCTGCGAGCTTGTGGGGGCAGAAGTGGCGAGTGGCCAGAATAGCTGAAAAGGTGCGGTATGTATTGATAGTGTGGGGGCACAGACATTCCCATGTACTGCTCCCTGAATGCCATAAATCCATTTAGCTCCACAGACCTACAGGAGAAAAAGCCTCATGTCAAACAGAATCATAGCAGGTCCAATGGCTACTCAAGGAAACAAGCCAGAAAATGGCTCAGGTGTGTTTGAACATGAGGTCTGTGTCTTCTAGGCAAGGGGTATAATCAATGGAAAAACACATGTCTCCCTACTAAATCCCAAACTGTGAGAAAGGGATTTTGTGTGGATATGTGTTGTGTGGTTTACCATACTTGGTGCCTGGCAGAGGAAGGGCCGACTAAATACTGGTAAAATAAATTCTGTGGGCAGGTACCATGTCTACAGAAATTTCAAAAAAGTACTGAAAGATTATGACGACAAAGGTGAGTTACTTTACTGCTAACCAAGGTTTAACTTTACCAGGTAAAGTTAAATTCCTTGTCAAGCCGCGAAACAAATCCAACACTTAGCAGGGAGTGAGACCTCTGATAAGAATCCCCTAACCAGTGGTTCTCAACCTGTGGGTCACAACCCCTTTGGGGGTTGAACGACCCTATTATAGGTGTCGCCTGGTTCATGACAGCAGCAAAATTACAGTGATGAAGTAGCAATGAAAATAATTTTATGCTTGGGAGGTCACCACAACATGAGGAACTGTATTGTTTTTTTCACTTTTTAAATCATTTTATTGGGGGCTCTAACAGCTCTTATCACAATCCATACATACATCAACTGTGTAAAGCACATTTATACATTCATTAACCTCATCATTCTCAAAACATTTGCTCTCCACTTAAGCCCTGGCATCAGCTCCTCATTTTTCCCCCTCCCTCTCCTCACTCTTCTCTCCCTCATGAACCTTTGATAATTTATAAATTATTATTTTGTCATATCTTATACTATCCGACTTCTCCCTTCACCCGCTTTTCTGTTGTCAATCCCCCAGGGAGGAGGTTATATGTAGATCCTTGTAATCGGTTCCCCCTTTCCACCCCACCCTCCCTCCATCCTCCCGGTGTCGCCACTCTCACCAGGAGGAACTGTATTAAAGGGCCATGGCACTAGGAAGGTTGAGAACCACTGACCTAAGCATTCAAAGGAGGGTACAAATTAAAGAACAATGGGATGAATAAAGGCTATTATGAAATATGAAGAGTCTTAGTTCCTCTCATCCCTTGGAGAAATCTAGCCACGTTGTGACTGAAAAAGACTGATTACCTTTTACTTAGATGTATCTCCTATAAAAGGAGTTGTCAAACTATGGCCCACAGGCCAAATTCCAAACCATGGCCTCTTAAATAGAGTTCAACTGGAGCACAGCCCATTGACTCACTAACATATTGTCTGTGGTGTTTTCACACTAGAATGGCAAGGATGAATAGTTGCAACACATACTGTATGGCTGCAAAGCCTTCAATATTTACTATCTGGCCCTTAACAGAAAGTTTGTCCATTCTTATCCTATAAGGAAGGTCTCTGGGGAAAGGATACCTCCCCGATAAACCAACTACTCAAAGAAAACACACCAAGCTATTTCACCCATAACAACTTTAGGCTTCATGCTTGAGCCAAGAGTCTCTAAGTTGGTATTGCCTGGTAGCAGCAAATTTGATGGACTTTTCTTATTTTAAAAAATTTAAAGTGAAAAACCTAACTTTTGTTGCAGTAGAGAAATTGTATCTCTTTCTCTTTTTAAATATATCTATATTTAACAGTTTTATTGACATATAATTCATATCATACAATCCAATGATTTAAACATTGAAAAGAATTGTGCAATCCTTAGTTCAATACTGCTGATGTGATTTTTCTTATTTCAGTGAAAAAGTAATAAGAGCGACCTTTAAAATGCTGTCCTGCTCAGTGAAGAATGCATGGGCATGGTAACAGATATAGCAGTACTCTAACAGTTTGCAGAAGAGACTGTGGACATTCGCAAGGTCCTTAGCATAAAACTGGTTCAGAAATTCTGTTTTGCATCAGCCTGACCCCTATCCCAAGAGCCCAAGGGAGCAAGAGTACTATGGCTGAGGCAGCCTGGAAGAACCGCTCAGACCAGATTGTTCCTACACTCCTGGGGCAACCGTAGCCTTTCCTGGAAGCTTACCTGGAGGAGAGCGTGGAGCCCGGTGAAGGCTGGTTGCTCTCTGAAGCCCGGTTCCCAGGGGAACTGTGGTCACTGTCACCATGGTTGCTCCAATGATTGGTCTCTTCCTCAAATTCCTGTCCAGACATGATCCTTTCGATTTCTTCCTCTGATATCTTTAACAAGGAATCAATACATGTTAGACTGGATGCTCGATTTCTCTTCCTCAGGACTGAGAGCTTAATAACATTTCACAAGGATTCCCAAGAGCCTCTAGAGAGAAACTCAGATTTCTTCACATCTACCCTCACATGCAGGGCCTCTCATTAATCTTAGGACAGACTGGTTGCTTGCCACCCAGAACCATGATCTACCACTGCCTTCATCTTGCCCATCTAACCCTACTTTCAAACCATAAAGTCTTGTGCACGTCAACATTTTTCTTTGTCCTTCTGTCTAGTCCTGAAACACTACTCCTCAATGACACTCTCCTTTCCCTTTAGGAGCCAATTAAAATGTCCCTTCCTTTGTGAAACCCTCTCCTCTATCACCAACTCGACAGAAATTTAGGTCCTTCTATCTACTAATAATTCTATGTGCTTTGAGAAATGCATGACAGAATAGTCATTAAACAGTATGAATTCTGGAGCCAGACAACTTTTGTTCAAATACAGGTTCTATTACATTTTAGCTATAAAAACTTGGGCAAGTCATTTAACTATTTGAACCTAAGTTCCTTTGATTTTATAACCAAAGGGAGTAATAGTATCTACCTCATAAGATGGTTGCAAGGATTAAATTAGAAAACACCTAGCAAATGCTTTCTCCGCCTGGCTCCTAGCACATAATTATTACAGAAATGCAGACAATCATTATTTTATTTATTTATTTTTACATTTAAATTCTAACCAGTGGTACCAGTCATCGTATTTTGTTGATAATTACAGTGTCTAAACAATAGTTCATTTTAAACAAATTCTGTATGAAACCTAAAGAATGGCTTCTAAAATTATGTTTAGATCCAACATACAACGACACATATACTGGTTTGTAGTAGCAAAATCCACACGAATAATTTACTTATAGAGAACTCTTCAGGCAACAAAAGAAGCTCAGGAAAAAAATGATCAAAGCATTTCTTCTTATAGATAAGGCAACTAACGCCTACCACACCTCAAAATCCTTTACAAAAGGAGATAGCTTAATAAATTCTAGTCCAAGGGCTTTCATTTGGATGCTTTTTCTTTTCATTTGCTTTCATTTGCAGTTGAAGTTCCTCAGCTGTCAGTGCTCCCAGTTTCTTATTCTTTGCTTTCTTAACCTTTTCCTCGATAGCAGTTACATCAGTTTTAGTTTCTGCAGAAGCTTCCTTAGGTTCTTTAGGTGGAATAAAAGCTTTGTTTCTTTTTTCTTGTCTCTTACCGAGAGCTTCTGCTTGTTTGGTCTTTATAGCTTCCATCTTCTGTTGTTTCTTCTGACTTAACCTTCAAAAAATATTCACCACTAGCCAATTCTTTGTCAATCTGACTTTCTGGCTGTGGTGGTGGGAATGGTGTATACTCTTAACAGTTTTTTTCTTTGGTTCCTTGCACTTATTCACATTTTTATGTTTGAACTGTGGCAAAAATCTTCCTCAACTCTGTGATCTTAATTCAGAATCTGTTGCCAAATCTCATTTAATCATTAAAGTTTTAATGTTTTATATTGGATGAATATTCTTCATAGTATCTAGGACTACTTTCTGAACCTCTTTTAAACCTCTGAAGGGTCCAATGGCTGAAACTGTGTTTCTCTGAACCATAATGTAACAGTTTGTTAACAGTTCCATTGCCTTCAATGTAGATCCTTTGGAGCCAATAAGACACTGTCTTCTTTTTACAAAGCTTTATTTTGTACTAAAGAACCTATATATTTTTTAATTAAAAGATTATTTTATTGGGGGCTCTTAAAGCTCTTATAACAATTCATACATCAATTGTATCAAGCATATTTGTACATCTGTTGCCATCATTCTTTTTTAAAAAAATCATTTTATTGGGAGCTTGTACAACTCATCACAATCCATGCATCCATACATTGTGTCAAGCACATTTGTACATTTGTTGTCATCATCATTCACAAAACATTTACTTTCTACTTGAGCCCTTAGTATCAGCTCATTTCTCCCCCTCCTTCCCTGCCCCCTAAAGAACCTGTTTTAATGGTGTCACATGCAACATCATCCTGAAGAATTCTTATTGCCTGCTCAAAAGAAACACTCCTTGCTAAAAGCTTTATTAGGTCTCTGGCTCTAATGATGACATATGTTTAAATGTCTTCTTTGTTGTACTAACAGTCATGCTGTCCTCAATCAGGTCCAAGGTTGCGTCAAAGTGCTTGGTTTTCTGGCTTTGCCTTCTGGTTATGAAACTTGCTTTTCCCAGCTGCTGTAGCAGACCCATTCAGCAAAGAAGCCATCTTACACAACTCAATCATCATTATTTTTATAGCATTTATTATTATCTATCTTAAATACATCCTCTGTAAATTCTAGGGTCAAGTATGAACCAAAAAAGAGTATGTATTCATTAAATATATGCTGTGTGAATGAACAAATGTCACTTAATAAGCACTAACCAAATATTTTTCACTTGAATTTTCTTAGTTAGAAAAACATTCCTGAGTTTATTAAAGAAGAGAAACTGCAGCTCAGAAGGAACTGACTTCCCCAAGATCATACTTTGTGCCCATTTCTGAGCAAGAATTCTAGGAAAATGCCCAAGTTTCCAAGTATTCAGACTCTGAATCTAGTGCTCTGGCTACTAAACCATATTAGGAGTAAATGAAAACATCTATCAACCTTCTAACCCAGAGTAGAAGTCTAATTTGCTAACACAGCACACTAATTTGTTAAAAACACACTTTTTTAACTTATTTGTTAAAAAAGTCCAGATGAGATTTTTTTTCCCCCTTGTTCTTATGGAAAGCACAGGAGGATATTTCCCTCAAAGTCTCTTTGACTCTAATGTACAAACTTCTTTGCTCCAGTAGCTGGTAAGGGAACCCTCTGCTGCTCTGACAAAAATACAGGAGCATTTCGAACTAGAGGCTAACCCTTATACAGGAGTTAGATGGGAAATAAGAGTGTGATTGGTATATGAGTTTCATGATTGGTTTGTTTCACAAACTGAATTGTAAGCCCCACACTTCCAGGATGGACCAAACAGAGTGAGGTCTACAACCTACCTGGACTGGCCCAATGCTCTTGTTTCGGCCTCCAGGCATGCCATCTTCTCTGATTGCTGAAAGGAAACAACACAGTCAGAAGCAGGCCAATAGGAGTTGAGTTACAAAAAGGGAATTAACAAAACAGCTCATGGCACCCATGGACCTGCAACAATTATGCTGAGCAAAGTTAGTCAATCACAAAAGGACAAACATTTAAGGACCACTACTATTAGAATAAATACCAAGACAAAGGCAGGCATCTGTTCCAGGTCATGTAATCTTCTAACGCAGTCTCCCAAGCAAGTATGCCTGCCTAATGCTTATGATCCATATATCACCTCATTTGTACACCTGAAAAAACACTTCATTAGAGGATACCTCACCTATGCTGGGATCAGTCTCTCATTCTGGGGAAAGTGGGAGAAGACCAAACTGCTCCTGCCATACAGCACAGTTCCACGGTTCTTCCAAATCAAGACATTCCCACAAAGGTGCTAAGTGAATCTTTACGGACATACAAGTCCAGAGGTGGCAGGGTGAGGACATGTTTGTCTCTGAGGTGATGTTACTATCACTGCTGGTGGGTAAACCAGGAGGGGCCAACTTCTCATTGAGGAAAATTCTTAACATTACTTTTATACAGATCCCTAATAGGAGAATGCGTGCAGTAATATTTTCCTAATCAGGCACTTTTGAGCCAGTTTCTATCCAGCCTGTGGTGACCCAGGCCAAGTGCTATAGACAACCTTGTTCTTCAGAGTATAAAACATCCGTCACCAGAAGGATCCAATTTAGAAAGTCTACAAAGCAAATGAGTTTACCATAAGCATCTCTGTAGCAGACAACTACTAACCCAAGGTACTGAATTTGCAAGTCACTGAACTCTAGTTTTAATCTCTTGCTTTGAGGGTGTCCAATAAATGACAACTTAAGGCTATATTTGCTATTTTCATATTTTTGTTTACAATGTCTTATTTTAGCAGGTATAGTTCTGCCTTGTGAATGGGAGTTAATGAAAGTTTTGGCCTGCCAACCCTCATTGTTTTCATAAATATTGTCCAATCACTTAACTTTTTAAACTGTACATCTCAACAATCCATGCATTTTAGTCTGAAGACCTAGCCTATACATGTATACTTTACTTTTCTCAAAAGTATTTTAAACTCTATACCATTTGGTAAATTAATGATACTATTAATAGAATCTCCACATATTATACTGATTGTGGTGATGATTGTACAAATCTTCTTTATGTGACTGAACTAATAAATTGTAGGATATGTAAACTACAAGAGCAAGTAGCCCTCCAAAATGGAATTTTTTTCAAAGCTAGAGTTTTGTTTTTTTTAACAAAACAACTTTATCAAAAGAACAAAACCCAAACCAAAAAACAACCTTATCACTTTCAAAGTACTCTCCATCACACTTAAAACATTTATTTGTTAAATATGAGATTTCATTCTTGGAAACATTTTTCACACTCATCTGTGGCTGACAGCATCTCCCTTGTTTTTTTCTTCACCTCTTCTACATTGTCAAATTACTATCCTTTCATGTCCCTCTTCATTTTCAGAAACAAAAAGAAGTCCTACAGAGTGAAGGTGAGTAAGGTGTGCAGGACAAGAGAGGCATGCTGGTTTTTGCCAAAAATTGGTGTGCTGAGATGACTACATGAGCAGGTGCATTGTCGTGGTGGCAAAACCAGCCCTTCAACTGCCACAAATCAGGCCTTTTTTTGTCACACACTGTTACACAATCTTTGCAGAACTTCTAAATAGCTTGATTAAGAGTTTGGCCTGCTAAAGATAAAGACATGTACATATGCAAATAGATCTATGAGCCTATATTTATAGGTTTAGTATTAAGGTAGCAGAAGGACATTGGGCCTCCACTCAAGTACTCCCTCAACACAAGAATACTTT